TCTAGGATTCACCAAAAACCCAGCAACACCAAGGAGACTCTCACTGCCCCACAAATCCCCTTGACGTCCACATACAGGCTTCTGTGCATACACAGTGTCCTCAAAAACAAAATGAGATTAGGGGCAGGGATTCCAGGCAATGAGGATGCTCCAACTGTTCACCAAGCCAGTTGTCTTCAGCCCTTCCAGACTCAGGACCCACTTTCCACCCTGGAAAAAAGGATGAGACTTTCTGAATTACAACTATGTGATATCACAGCAGTCATGGTGCGCGTTGGCACCAATGACACTGGGAAATGCAGCTGTGTGGTCCTGGAGGAAGCTATTTAAAACCACACTAATTAAAGCCCAAATAGAATGCATTCCACAAGTTAGGAAAGGCACTGCCAAGTCTAAAAGGAAGCCTGCATGTTTAACAATGCCGGTCACATGAACACATGAAACAGAATCAGACCCTTGGTCCATCAAAATCAGTATTGTCTACTCAGACTGGCAGTGGCTCTTCAGGGTCTCAGGCAGGGGTCTTTCACATCACCTGCTGTCAGATCTTTCAACTGGAGATACCAGGGATTGAACTGGAGATACTGTGGATTGAACCTGGAACCTTCTGCATGCCAAGCAGATGTTCTACCACTGAGCCACAAGTCAAAGAAAGCTACAAAAAGTAAAGAGGCTTCTTTCTAAAAGTGGAAGGTCTGCTCCAATGAATTGAATAGGAGGGGCCACAGGCTCTGGCAAAAGAAATATAAGTGAATCATTAGGCACGCAAAAAGAGATTTTGAGGAGCGGGTTCTAAAAGGATCAAGACAAACAATAAACATTTTTTAAAATATATCTGGAGCAGGAAACCAGCCAGAGAAGCAATGGGGCCTTTGGATGACAAAGGAATCAAGGGGTTGCTAAAGGAAGACGGGGAGATGGCAGAGAAGCTCAATTCATTGTGGCAAGGGTGAGGCAGGTACCCAAACCACAGCCTCTATTTTCTGGAAGAGAGTATGAAGAATTCAGCCAAACTCAGGTGACCAGAGATGAAGTTCTAGATCTGCTAGGGGGATTAAAAAGCAATAATTCTCAAGGTCATGATGCCATACACCCTAGAGTTCTTAAGGAACTCAGACATGAGATAGTTGATCTACTAAGGTCCCGGTGACACAGGCAGGAAAATGCGGGGGGGGAACGTGGCTGTTAGCCCCGGGGCTAAAAACCGTGCGGTTGCTCGAGCAGACCTACCGATGGAGGTCCCGTGGTAGGGGGGAGGTGCCGATCACTCCACAGTCCTGCGGCGCGGCAAAGAAGCAGGGCGCGGAGCAAACGGGGTTGGTTTTTTAAAAAAAAAAAAAACTCAAATGTGTGCATGCTCCCTTGGGTGCTTGTGCGCATCCGTGAAGAGTTTGGGGGGAAAAAACCTTTTTCCGAGGGGACATGGGCGGGCGCCGGAACTACCACCGGAAACGCGATCAGACGCCCGCCCTTGCCCCGCGGTTTCAGGAAACTAGTACTTCCAAGGTACTAGTTTTTTACCGCGCATCTTCCACGGGAAGCCTCGGGTTCGCCACGGGAGCTCGACGCTTCCCAGATGTGGCGGTGAGATCATGCCCGGAAAATCCGCCTATCTTCTGTCCCTCTAGCATGCCTAATGCTCCGTGTGACCGCAGCCTAACCTGTATATGTAACCTATCACTAAATTCAACCACTGTACCAGAAGACTAGAGCGTAGCAAAATAACACCATTTAATTTTAAAAAAAAAAAAGGGATCCAGAGGGGAACCCGGAAATTACAGGCTAGTCAGGCTGTCCCAGGCAAATTAATAAAAACTGTAATCAAAAATAGAATTGTTAGGCACAGAGAGGGACAAAGCCTGCTGAGGGAAAATCAGCATGGCTTCTGCAAAGGGATGTCCTGCCTCACGTAAGGTGATGCACTTTGGGACAAAAAATTCAAGCTTCAAGAGTAGGCTAATGAGATCGGAATTTGCTGAGACTGAGAGGGCAAAAGATCTTGGGGCCATAGCGGATAACTCAATGAAAGTGTCAAGCCAGTGTGCTGCAGCAGTGAAAAAGGCAAACTCTATACTAGGGATTATAGAAAAGGGACTGAGAACAAAACAGCTGATATTGTAATGCCCCTGTATAGGTCTATTGTGCAGTCTCATTAGGAATACTGTGTGCAGTTCTGGTCACTGTATCTCCAAAAGGATATTGCAGAGTTGGAAAAAGTACAGAGGAGAGCAACTAAGATGATAATGGGGTTGGAGCACCTTCTCTATGAGGAAAGGCTGAAGAGTCTTGGATTTTTCAGTTGAGAAAAGACAACTAAGGGGGGACATGATAGAGGTTTATAAATTTATGCATAGGGTGGAGCGAGTTGACAAAGGGAATTTTTTTCTCCACTCCCAAAATACTAGGACTCGAGGACATCCAATGAAGCTGATGGGCAGTAGATTCAAAGCATGCAAAAGGAAATACTACTTTACACAGAGAGTGATTAAAATGTGGAATTCACTTTAAAAGGGGATCAGATAGATTTATGGAGGATAAGTCTATCAACAGCTACTAGCCACATTCAGAGGCACTAAACCTTGGAACTCCAGAGCCAGGAGGCAACATCAGGGGAAGGCCTTGACCTCTGTGCCCTGTTGTTGGCCCTCCAGAGGAATTGGTTGGCCCCCATGTGAGTCAGGATGCTGGACTAGATGGACCATTGGTCTGATTCAGCAGGGCTCTTCTTATGTTCTTATGAAAGCCAAATGAAACACAGTCTTGTGACAGGAAGAGGAGCAGCCAGTGTTATGATTTCACCTGTGTCAAACACTGGCAGCAGGGTCAGCTGGCCAAGAAAGCTGGGGACAGGAAACCCAAGTCAGCCACTAGAAGGATTGAGGAACAAGCCAGTACAAGTAGGTTCAGAGGCCGTGCCCTTGCAAAAGCTCTCCCCTGGCTTCTCTCTCACCCACACTCCCTGCCTATACCAGCCACACACACCCAAGACACCCAATACTTGTCCACATTTCTGGTGTACAGCCCCCCCCCCCCAGACCAGCATTCTCAGGGAGAGGCAGCTCCACGCTACAGTCACATGACTGGAAGCCAAAATGGCAGCAGTGGATGGACAAGTCAGGAGGGACAGACGGCAAGGGAAAGTCTTCCGAAAGAGGGGACACATTAACAGCAGATCCTTCGAAATGGTATCAACAAATTTTGGTGGCTTTATACAGGTCTTGAGAACCACCTGAGGATTCTTTGCAGTGTGTTGGAGACCACTGTTCTGAGCCTCCATCTCTTGACTGAACAAGACCAAGGGCTAACAACAGAAAAGAGAGACAGTGTACGGTAGAGCCTGGGACCAGCGTCGGGGACACCCCATTCTGCCATGGAAGGTTATGGTTGACCTTGGGCCAATCAGTCTCTCTCAGCCTAACCTACCTCACATGGTTGTTGTTATTAGGATAAAATGAGGATGGGAGAACAATGTTGTAGGCTGTTTTGGTTCCCCACTGGGCAGCCTTTTAAAAACACAAAAATAGGAATTATTTTCAAAATCCGAGCATCACCTCACAAAACTACAGTAAGAGCTTACTGGCGTAACTTCGTTCTAAGGCTTAAGCAAGAGAAGCCAATGCTAATGTACAGGCAGCTTCTTTCACATACTTTGGGACTAGCACAAACATCAGGTTCTTATACTGCACCCTAGCTCATCATAGTTAGCCCTATGTTGAACACGGGTTCAAAGTGGGGCTGCCAACTCCAGGTCAGGAAATGCCTGATTTGGGGACAGTGCCTGGGGAGAGGAGGGTTTAGGGAGGGGAGGGACTTCAGTGGGGTATAATGCCATAGAGCCCACCCTCCAAAGCAGCCATTTTCTCCAGGCGAAGGGATCTCTGCCACTTGGAAATCAGCTATAGTTCTAGGAGATCTCCAGGCACCACCAAGAGATTGGCAACCCTAAACTTCAACATTAAAAAAACAAACAAACATTGGGGCTTAAGCTACTGTTCTTTTTGTTTGCTGTCTTGACTGCAATCAGTTTTTACACCTTATTTCATACAAATGGCAAATTCCTAACAATAGGCAGGAACACAAACCCTAACATAGATTACACGCAGGATTTTTAACACATAAAGGAAACGATAAAACCCCTTTTGTCATGTACCCTGTCAAGGTCACAGATAAATGAAGAACAAATAAATAATTTGCAAATGATGTTGACGCTTGAGTAGGCAGAGCCAACTGATCACACTCTACATACATAGTGGCAGAAATGCAGCTTTTTGTGTGTGGGGAAAATCCCTCCTTAACTACAGGGTCATAATCCTAAAATTCATATGTACATTTGGAAAACTCAAGGAGAAACGAACTTTTAAAAACAGCGCGGGATCAAAGGCCTCTCGTCTCGATGATTATGCCACTCAGCAAACGTGTCAACAGGTCAGATCTATTGTCTGCCATGCTAGTAAAGCTCAGGGTGCAGAATATTGCCTTATTTTACATCTTCCCATTTTATAGATGGAGGAACTGAGATGCAAAGGTTCAGTCGGTCCGTGATTCAGATAGGGAGGATCTAGACACACTGGAGCAAAAGAGGGTCTTTGCGGGGGATTACGGAAAAGCGTGTCCTAACGTCACAAAGACGGCCAGCTGAAAACGGGGGCGCGGGATTTTCCAGTACGAGCGGCTCCTCACCCCTACGGAATAACCCACGTTTCTTTTAAAGACACGAAACCCCTGCCTCCCTTTGCAGCTGGCCACCTTTCCAAGCATCCCCTGCAGTTGCACGAACTTCCCACCAAGATCGGTCTGGCCCACTACATCCGCCTAGGAGTTAACCCTGCAAAAAAAACTACTTTCTTTTCCAATATTAAGGGGCCGGGCAACCCGCTTCCTTCTTTCAGTAGCAAATAACAACCAGTTCGGATCCAGTAACCACATCTGCTTTCCTAACGCATGAAGTCAACGAGAAGGTAAAGAATCTTCAATAAAGTACCCATAACCCTGTCACTTACTGGTTCTCTACTAATGCGTTAGATCCCACGCAGCTTGCGCATCCCTCGGGTCTTCGCTTCATAAAGATTTTTCCCCCCCTCCCCTCTCTTTCTTTCAAGCGCCGTGGCTTGGAAGAGTTTCATTCGCACTTTTCGAGGGGTGGAGCCGGAGAGTCAGCAGCCCTACTATAGGCCGTGCGTTCCTTAAGGTGGCCCGAACAGTTATTCCCCGAAGACTTGCTAACGTCACCCATGGAATGACTCGCACGGCTGACGGAGGAATTCGCACGTGTGGAAAGGAGTCCAGAGACAGCTGCGTGACGGGGCAGACGTTCCCGTAAGGGCATCAGGGCTAAGCTAGTAAAGCTGAGCTCATGTCTGGAAGTAACAATGATTGGCCTCCCGCCCCGGCCGTGCATCTTTACCAGTGGATAAATCCGGCTTCGTTCAGTAAATTTACTGTAACCGGCTGCCGCTGCCTTGTTTCGGAATAAGACCCCTACCCAACCTCAGTAGGACTGACTTACTGAGAGTTCTGCGACTAGGCAGCTTTTATGCACACTTACTTGGGAGTCAGTCCCATTGAGTTTAGCGGGGCTTGTTTGCAAGTATACATGCGCCCTGCACGGTTGCAAGCCTATGCACGCTTGATTCAAGAATAAACCTGTGGAATTTCGAGTAAAATTCCCTTTCCAATAAACATGCATCGGACCGGGTTGCATATCTACAAGGGCATATGAGAGCTGTAGCTAGGGTTAGTTCAGGGAAACGAAAATACACCTTAAAGAACAAGCCGTGAAAGGCAAGTGAGAAACTTGAATGGCATTCTGAAGGAACTTTTCCTTCCCCAAAGGAATACTTAATTATTATTATCTTTTACTGTTTTTGCATTGCGTGCAGTCTTGTAGGCAGCATTACATTAAAAGCTACTGCTTGTTTCTTTACCATGCTCTTTATGCCCCTTTAAACCCATCACAGTTTCAGTGCTGACTACAGTATGGTAAATAAGATTCAATGCAAATAAGTATAAAGCAATGCAGGGGGCAATGGAGATTCTAATTTTGCAATATACATTTTTTTTCGAGAATGTATTTAGTAGTGGCTAACCAGGAATGAAATAGAATTCATTATTTATTTTTGCAACATAAATAATGTATAACGGAATTTGTCACCGCTTGTGAGTTTCCCAGGGGCATCTGATTGACCACTATATTTATCCGCTTACTTCAATTATAGTCTGCCTTTCTCCTAGAGACTCGAGGCATATATAAGAAACAGGATACCGATACTATAGGAAACAGGATTCTGACTGAGCTTAACTATTCCATTAGTATAGTAGATTTAAGTGAAACTGGGTTATGTTGATAGAACCAGGTGGGCAGGCATGTTGGTCTAAAGCAGTAGAACAAATTTTGAGCCCCATGGCACCTTTAAGACCAACAAAAGTTTATTCAAGGTACCTTGAATAAACTTTTGTAAGTCTTAAAGGTGCCACTGGACTCAAAAAATGGGTTATGTTTGTTAGGGTGCGTTCAGACGGGCAGCTAATCCCGCTATTCTGCCGGCTCAAATTTGATCCCTATTTTTTTAATCCTTGCAAGACCAGACATCCCCCGGGGGAATCACCTTACCGCGTACTGCTTCCACTGTGGATTGTCTAGATGGCATCCACTGAAGGAGGCACGTGCAGTGGGAGTTTTTTAAAAAAAAATTTTGCACATCCACATAGGCGTGATTGCACGTCCTTGTAGATCCGCGCATGCACGGAATCAAACGTTCAAAGTGAGGGACGCGTAGCCGTAATTCCGACCAACAGGACAGCCCCAGCAGGACCAAATTCTTCTTTCGTTTTCTGTTCTAGCCCACGCTTGCAGGGCTGGACTAAACGAGTCCCGGCCATCCCCCTTGCCATTGAGATCATGCTCACTGGAGGGACTATTTTGCATGTCGAAAGACCCATCCTCCCTCCCGCTCCCATCCCATTAACCGATCGCCCTTAAACTCACGGGTCATTCAAAACATTGAAGTGTTCGTGGCGCTGGATCGGGGTTCCGCAGCCTCATTTTTAAATGTGTTTAAGCGCATATTGAGTATGCCCAATATGCCACTCCAACGGGAGGATTGCGCACTGGTGGAACAATCAGAAAGTCTGTGGTTGTCCTGTTGGGACCCAAAAACTGCAGATTTAAAGTGGTATCTTTTAAGTACGGCTCCGAAGCACAGCAAAACGGGATGTCCACGGAACAGGGACGTTTCCCAGATGTTTGTGTCTGGACAAAAGAGCCGTCTGAACGGACCCATAGACTAGTAAGTACTGGCTGACTGGCAACTCTAAAAGCAGTTTGTTTCTATGTGCTATTATGGCCATAAACTGTGTTACTCTGACAAATGGGAAATGAATGGAGATGAACACGAACAAAATTGAGATTGTGTTTTCCTACTAACATTCTCAGTCAAAGAAAAGGCCATCGTCTTTCCCCAGATAATATGAAGACATGATTTGCTGGCCTTATTACTGAGAGTATTGCTGAGGAACTAAATTGTAACATCCACACTCAAAGTTTCTGGGTTTGTTAGTTGTCATACACTTAGCAAGGCAGACTACATCTTGCCCTCACCCCCTCAAGCATGCCGCTCACCCTAGTAATTCAGGTCTAAGTTTCTCAGGCCTTACCGCTGGGGATTTTCCCCATGTCACGAGAGTTCATCCAAAGCTGCCTAAGACAGGGCTCAGTTTCCTCAGCATAAAACAAGGCCTCCGGCTGTTTTAACTTACGTCAGAATTTGACCTTGGACCTCTTACATTCCCAAGACGCAGGAACTGAAAATACAGAACCAACATCACACACACTTCCAGCCTTCCTGTCAAGCACAGGGCAGCTGAAGTAAAGGCCTGGAGGTACTACACTGCATATATGACGACAGATTTAGCTGACTAAGCAGAGGTATATTTTTGACCTGACCTGATAGCCTCATCTTGGGTCAGCCCTGGTTAGTATTTATGTATTTGAAATATTTATTAGCAGCATTTCTCCCTTGCGGAATTCAAGGTGGCTTACAATATGGGACCACCAAATGATCGGAGACCACCAAAGACCTTCTGGGTTGCTACACAGAGGCAGGCAATGGAAAACCACCTCTGATCGTCTGTTCCCTTGAAAACCCCATAGGGTTGCCGTAAAATGACTTTGGCTTGATGTCACTTTCCACCATATTTTTGAAGACTTTGGCTCTGGTATATGATTGCAACTGGCCAGTAGTCTTCCACTGCACATGACTCACCAAGGTGAAATCATGTGACATTCCAGTCATGTGACAGGAAGAGGGAGAGCTAGAGCTACTAGCTCAGGGGTGTCAAAGCGAAACATGGGACAGAAGACTAAGTAAGCTCGAAACAGGAAACAAGCTAAACACTAGGAGGTATAGCATAAGGAGGAACAAAGCAAGGCTTAGATCCATGTACAGTTGCCAACCACCAGGTCGGGCCTAGAGATTCCCCCAGATTACAATTGATCTCCAGACTACAGTGATCAGTTTCCCTGGAGAAAACGGCTACTTTGGAGGGTGGACTGCATGGCATTAGTCCATGCTAAAATCGCTCCACTTATCAAACCCTACGATCTCCAGGCCCCACCCCCAGATCTCTAGAAACTTCCCAACCCGGAGCTGGCAACCCTAGAGTGATGGAAGAGGCCTTTCCATCAGTGAGTTACCTCGCCATCTTGCTGTTCTTTTCAGTCTACATGCAAATAGAGGCAGAAGGTGTAGCATCCTAGTTCTTTATGGTTCCCGCTTGATGACTCATGGACAGCTGCATTCACATTTGCCATCTACCAAAAGAGCCATATCTATTTCTATCCCAGGTATGAGGCCTGCACTTCAAGGAGGTTCAGGGTTCACCCGTTCCTCTGGTGGTGGCTGCTTCAAGATGGGAAACACCAGCCAACCATGAGCCCTACTGGGCAACAGCCTTGCCAGCTTTCTTGAAACATGTGGCAGGTGCCACCTTGGAAAACTGCTCAGGTGAGCCACATCTGGCTCCTGAGCCACTGAGTATCACTGGCATAGACAACAGCAGCAGATCTTTCAAAAAAAAATTAAGCAGATATACACAGTGGCTCTTTAGTGCCAGCAACCCAGTAGAATGGAACTCTACAATCCACTTGACCATCCCAACCTATAGCTTGATGACTATTGTGACAGGGAATGGGAAATACAAAGGTTTTCTCTTCTAATAATGAGTGGCCACTCGTATTTATAAAATTTTAAGTTCTGATACATTATTCTGGGTCCTCACCTATGATACGTTTTGGTGTCATCTGTATTTAAATCTAATTGATTAATCCTTTAATCAGGCAAGCGATTCAACTAAAATCAACTCAGTCATATAGAATCCTGATTCCTATAAAATAAATGAGTTAGTGATTGGTTTGAAAATGTTGAATTTTCCATATCCTAATATCTTGGATTCTTGACCAGATGGTTATCTCAGCTACCAATAACTGTCCTCTTGGCCTTTCTTATTCAAAAACTAGCCCCAAGTAATAAGCCAAAAGTCAAATCTGTTTGCTGCTAATCTGGAAGTAGGCAAGGCTCGTGGTTAGCTGGTAGTTCCCACCTTATAACAGCTGCCACTGGAGGAATGGGTGAACTGTGAACCTCCTTGAGGTGCAAAGTTGTATAAGGCCTGCTTGAGGCCTGCCTAGTTTCCTGAAATATGAAGAGGTGTCACATTGGGGAACATTCAAATAAGTTCAGTAAGACGCTGCTAATTTTCAGTGTAGACATACATGATATATAAAAATTTAGCAGTGCCTTACAGAACTTGTTTGAATGTTCTTCCAGATTAGCCTCAAACAGTTTTTGGACAGGATGGTCTCCTGAGACAGAGGAGGACATCCTACCCATACAGAAATAAGTCTAGGACAAACGGCATTGCAATGAAAAGCCAAAGAGAGCCCCTCAAAAGGCTACACTGTAGGAGCTTTGAATCATCTGTCTCACATGACAGTGGAATTGGCAATGCCCCTTAATGGCTTTGGCCAAATGCCCATTTGGAAGAGGTGAGTTTCTTGCTAAACTGAAGGGATTGGGGCACATGGGTGTCAGTGTGAGAAAGTACAGTGTACAAGGG